GCAGACCGATCTTCCATCTGCTAGTTCATTCCCCAAAATGTCCACAACAGCAGAGACCAGGCCAAGGCGAAGCCAGGAGATGGGAACTCAAAGCCTGCTGTGTGGGTGCAGAGACCCAGCCACTTGTGCCGTCACCTGCTGCTTCCCAGGAAGCTGAAGTGGACCTAGGTACTCCACTATGACACCCCAGGCAGCCCCCAGATCAAAGGTGTTTACAGAGACCCTTACAAACTCCAACTGATGCAGCACTGAGTGATCCAGCAGAGCCCTCAGCCCAGGGATCACCTGACTGCGTCCTGGGTCTCACATCCAAAGCTGTTCACAGCTCCAAATACCCATCACAAAGCCTCCAGCCTCAGCCTCAACCTGCGTCCTTTACTCTCATCAACAGGGATGTATGTATGCTAGCCCCACGACATTCAGGCAGTATTTGTCACTGCCCTCATTTCCAAGTGTCCTGCAACACGCAACATAACTTAAAAACATTTTTTTTTTAAACAAAACCGTTCCACTAAATGAAATTTTACTACATGGGATATGTGAGCTCTGTGGTTTGAACGTGTCCCGCAGAAGTTCACGTGTTGGAAACTTAATCCCAAAACTCACATGCTAATATTTGGAGGAGGGCCCTTTGGGAGTAATTAAGATTGGATGAGGACAGGAGGGCGGCGCTGGTGGCTGTAGAAGAAGGGGAGGGGAGGCGGGCTTGCTCACCAGAGGAGGCCCTCTGCTAGGCGACCTGGTGACGGAGCTGCAGGAAGGCCCTTGAGATGCCTCACTAGACACCAGCAACACTCTCAGACTTCCCCACCTCCAGAACCGTGAGCCAAATAATTTATCATAAATTACCGGCTCAGGTATTTGTCATAGCAAGGGAAAGTAGACTAAGACAGAGGGTGACCTCGGATGGACGCTATCTTGAAGAGAAGCCAGGACAGTCTCCATCATCACATACGAGTATGCATTTATCAGTGCTTACCCTTAACCCAGATGTCCTAATTCTCAACACTCAAGTGTGCATCCAAACAGTGTTTGTTTTCCAAGTCAAAAAAAAAAAAGAGAGAGAGAGAAAGGAGGGGGCCAGCATTGTGGCACAGTGGGTAGAGCGGCTTCCTGCAGTGCCGGCATCCCATACGGGTGCCGGTTCTAGACCCAGTCACTCTACTTCTGATCCAGCTCTCTGCTATGGCCTGGGAAAGCAGTGGAAGATGGCTCAAGTCCTTAGGTCCCTGCATGCATGTGGGAGACGTGGAGGAAGCTCCTGGCTCTTGACTTTGGATCAGCCCAGCTCCAGCCGTTGCAGCCATCTGGGGAATGAACCAGTAGATGCAAGACCTCTCTCTGCCTTTGCCTTCCAAATAAACAAACAAACCTTTATTTATTTATTTTTGACAGGCAGAGTGGACAGTGAGAGAGAGAGACAGAGAGAAAGGTCTTCCTTTGCCGTTGGTTCACCCTCCGATGGCTGCCGTGGCCGGCGCACCGCGCTGATCCGATGGCAGGAGCCAGGTACTTTTCCTGGTCTCCCATGGGGTGCAGGGCCCAAGCACTTGGGCCATCCTCCACTGCACTCCCTGGCCACAGCAGAGAGCTGGCCTGGAAGAGGGGCAACCGGGACAGAATCCGGAGCCCCGACCGGGACTAGAACCCAGTGTGCCGGTGCCGCAAGGCGGAGGATTAGCCTAGTGAGCCGCGGCGCCGGCTGCAAACCAACCTTTAAAAAATAAAAAAGATTTTGTCCTCTAGGCCCTCCTTCCTTCTCATCTTTCCCCTCCAGCCTGAGGGAATCCCCCTACACTAGGCGTCCCTAGTGTCTCAGTGGGAATCCCGCTTGTCAGCCACAACTCAGTCAGTGTCAGCTCCTGTATGCAATCATAGGGCCGCCTAAGGGACCTGCGGTGCTCACTGTGGCCCTGCCCCGGCCTCTCGTGGATTATCCCTTGGTAAACGGGGGCCGAGAGGGGAAACACAAGCACCTGTGCTCTGCGGCTGTGCCTCTGTGCTAGCAGCCACTTCTGCTTCTTTCTCCCCACTTCGTCTGTTCTGGAACCACAATGAGGAAGATTATGTACCTCATTAATTTAAAAAAAAAAATACCATATTTCTTTAAGCCCACAGACCATACTAATAGTAACCTGGTTGCCAGAAGAGCTAAAGATATGGGAAGACTTGAAACAAACTTGAGTTTTTATCTGGGAGATGGACAAGCATGGAAGGAGAGGAACAATGCTTAGCGGTAATAAACTTGAACGCAGTTATTACCTTTAAGAAGCCAGGTGAATTATTACCTTTGGAGGATTCATGCGTGCAGGGTACGAGTTGGGGAGGGAGCAACAGGAACTGCTGCCCTGGCAACAGCGGAGGAGGAAATCCCCTGCCACACGGTACACCATTACATAAGGGCAGAAGTTCAATCACCACGCCCGAGACACCAGCCAGGAACCCAGACCAGTGCCGAGGTCTCTTCCGCATCTGTCGCAGCTCACTCTTCTTCCACCAGCTCAGAGTCTGGGCTCTGTCCAGGCCAGCCTCAGTGACTAAATCAAACGCTATCCTTTGAGAGTGAGTTAGACACAAAGGAGCAGGCATGCGGCCTAGGGGGTCAGCAGCCTGCATCCCTCCCTGGAGTGCCTGAACCTGAGTCCTGGCTTGGCTCCCGCAGCCCAGGATTTCTGCTGATCCACACGCTGGGAGGCAGCAGGTGATGGCTCAAGTACTCAGGCCGCACTGCCACCACCACGGAACAGTCAGATTTGAGTTCCGGCCTTCCAGCTCCAGCCTGGCCCAGCCCTGGCTGTTGCGGGCATTTGGAAGTGAACCCGTGGGACGGGAGTTGGGGTGAGAGGGCGAGTATGGGGGGAAGAACCGCTATATTCCAAAAGCTGTACCTATGACATTTATATTAAATAAAAGCTTTCCAAAAAAAAGGAACTAAACTCATGGATAGGAGTTCTCCTTCTGTCGCTCACATAAATAAAAATTAAATGTTTATAAACAAACACTGAGCCACCCAGAGACCTGTCCCCAAGTGAGCATTTGTCTCCTATATCATTTCCACTCCAGGATCCGAAAAGCTACTCTGCTTCCTCTGTACAGGTTTCAGATCCATACTGTCCTGTACAACGCACTGGGCAGAAGCTCCTCACACAGCAAATGAACGCGGTGCGCTCTGGGTTCTGTCTTCTGCACTGCAGTAGCCCCAGGACTCGGCAGAGTCTGGCGTCTATTTTGTGTTACATAAATACTTGCGAGCACCGAATGAAAACAAGAAAGAATAAACACATGGTGCAAACAGACCATAACTATGTACCCTGGAGAAAGCGCTGGGCAGGCTCCTGACCTGAGACATGGCCTGAAGCAGTGGCCCTCTGAGAAGGTTCTGAAAGACTCCAGCTTCAGTTTTACCAAAAGGTAAACAAACTGGAAACTGGTAAAATCACCCAGTGGATCAGAGGGTGGGCTCCACCAGGAGCTGTTCTGTGACCCTGGACAAGTTGTTCCACGTATCTAGCCGGTCTCAACTGGAAAAATGGGAGTATAACAATGCCTACCTCAAAAGTCTGCTGTTTCTTACATGGAACCAGGCAAAAAAAGCTCTTAGCCCTTGCTCATATGATTGCTACTCTCCTTTATTAAATACTTCCTTTACTGAGGCGCAGCCGTACGCAACTCTGAAAATACTCATTTCTGCTTGCCTATGCATCTAGCTAAAAACGCAAAGCCTAGAAGCTGAGCACTCGAGCCAAGCACATGTCTCTACTTGCCTCCACTAGATGGTGACAATTTGGGTGTGGAATTCCCAAAACAGAAAGCGTGTGTGTGCATCACTCATATAAATTTTTTTTTTAAGCCAAAGAAATCAAAACGGCAAGAAATGGATCAATCGCTGAGCAGGGTGGAGAGACAACACTTCCCACCTCTGCAGAGCTAGTCAAACCCGCGGCGGGGGGATCCCACCGCACACTGCACACACGACCCCGGGGTAGCAAGAGCAACAAAGGCCGGCCCCTTGGAGAAAACTCTGCCAACAGCAGCTCCGCAGGCCGCTGCGCCCGCACAGGAACCTGCCCCTCGCCAGCCGGGGCCGCGCTCCGCCCGGGTCTGGCTGTGCCCACGACCGCCCTCTGCTCCGCTTCTCGTTCCAGGTAACTTTTTCCACTTCCGCAGCCGTGCAGGCTAGGCGAACCCACACCGACTCTCTGCAGTCAGGAGTGTGCACCGGCAAGCGAGGAAAGAACAGGAAGTGGCTTCGGGGGAGTTTCGGCCCCGATAATCAAAGTTTTTCGAGACTACGGGCGCAGACAAGGCGCGAGGGGCTCCAGGCAGCTCCGTGCGCACGGACGCACACGCCGGCCCCAGACTTCCTCAGGAAACGCACCTCGGCCGAGCCCGCCCTGCCCCAGCGCAGCGCCCGCCGCTCGGCTCGGCTCGGCGCGGCGCGGGGCCGGGAACCGCAAAGGAGGGCCGCTCGCCCGCCGCCTCCGCACCGAACTCGCCAAGCGGACCGGCCCCGGCGCGCCCCGCACAGCCGCGAGCCCGGGGGCAGGTGCCCTCCTCGGGGCTCCCGGCGGCAGGGTGACAAGCGGGCCGCCGCCGGGGAGCAGCCGGCCCAACCCCCGGCCCGCGACCCTCGCGGCCGGTGCGCGTCCAGCGCTGGCCGCTGACAGCCGGCCGGGCGCGCAAGTGACACACACAATGCCGGCCGCGCTGACAACTCACCCCGGAGCGGCGCGGAGACCTGAGGGAGGGAGCCGACCCGCCGCCTGCGCGCGACCGCAGCGCTCTCGGGTCCAGGCGAGGCCCCGCGTGCCCGTGTCTGGCCGGCGGTGCGGGGGCAGGAGGCCGGCGGCAAGGAGACGGCTAGGCGGTCGCTGGCTTCGGAGAATGGAACGCGGCGGCGGCGGCGGCGTCACTGGCCCAGCTGTACCGCGCGGGGCGGGGGGAGTCCCCGCCAAGGGGCGGGGCGGGGCGGGGCGGGGCCAGGGGCCACGCAACAAGCGCCGGCGTCGCCCCACTGGGAGCCCCCGCACGCACGCGCCGCAGGCCGCGCCAGACGCCCCGCCGGAGACCAGACAGCGGTGTTGGGGGGGCCTTAAAGGGACCGCCGCGCTGACTGAGCCGGAGCGGACGGGGCGGTGCGCGCTCCCCAGGTCTTGCACTATTGCTGTTAGGGGGATTGTTATTATTTGCAAAGAACTGGATTGCCACCAGGTTTACAAGGCTGTTTCACGCGTGTTGTCTTGTGAGCTCCTGAATGGCTCTCCTGACCTAGCTCGGAAGCAGGTTATTATCCCCCCTATTAAGTAGTTGTGTGTAGCCTTTACCTACCTTCAGATCACCCCGGGGGCCGGGCGGGCGGTTGAGCGTGAAGATGCAGGTCGCGGTTCCACCTCCAGCCTCTCGGAGTCGGGACAGCTAGGGTCGGACTGGCGCCTTCCCGGGGAAGGGCTCAGCACACCGAAAGGACCCGCCATGGGTATCAGGGTTGAAAAGCTCAAGTTCCGAGCAAGGAGTGGCACAGCCGGGCACAGAGCCCTGCCAGGTGCCCAGCTTTGCGTGCCAGCGGGGTGGGGGGGCAGCCTCCTGGGGCTACTTTCCAGCCCATCATCCTGTGTGAGTCTAGGTGCAGCATGCCGGGACCACGACCAGCACACCATTTATTGGTGATCTCCCACTGGCACTGCCGTCCCAGCTATCTGTCCTCGGTTTCTGTGCTTATACAGCAGGTGACCCATTGGTGGCAGGGACTGTGGCTTTTTATCTTTGTGCCCCAGGGCGTTGAGTCAAGTGCTGGCCTCAGAAGTGCTCAGTGGATGGTGAGCCGTCCCTACTGGAACGTCAGACTCCTATCTTTTGCTCCACCTTGGCTTAAGTAGCCCTGTTTCCCAAGGTGGGACGTGGATACACCCCTCACCAACACCCCCAGGGCCCCTGACCAGTATTGGTTCTAGCTCGATTTCAGGAAAAGTACTGTGAATAAATTATGGCCTGTCTTTGAAAGAGCTCAGACAAGCGCCCCTCCCCACCTGCACACACCTGTTCCCGAGAGCCCTCCCTTCTGGGCCCCACAGCAATCTGCCTAGCCTATTACCTTGTGCATAAGCTGGTCTATGCTCTGTCTTCTTGGGTCCAGAGTCACTGGTGATGACGGACACCCCTCCCTTGCTGCTCACTGTCTCCCCCTTGCGGCGACTGCACAGCCCACACCCCCACGGAGTTGACCATGCCAGCCTCTACCACAGAGGCAGCCCCAGGGCAAAGGAAGCGGGCAGCCAGGGGACAGGGTGGAGGCAGAAAGGATTGGAGAAGGCACATGGAGAGAGACAGAGAGGAAGGGAAGGAAGCAGGCATCTCCTCAGGGGTCGGCTCACCACGCAGGCCGGGAGCCTGAGCTGTGCTCCAGTCGCCTTCCCCGCCGACAGGCTCGGTGGCCTCCCGGAAGACCCACCACCTCTCATATCATACGGTGGCTCCTGGAACCCTGTGCAGGTCTGTTCATTGCTACCTAAAATCCTCCCCTGGAGCCACAGTATGAATGAAGGCAAGCCCCCCACTCCACCCCCCAGAGACCAAGTACAGGGCTCCTTACCATCTGTGCCCAGCCCTCTGTGTCCCTCCACACCACCCCGCCCCCCCAGGCCTCCCTGTACCACCTGCTGGTCTGACAGCGCAGCAGTCCAGCTCAGAGCTCTTGCCCTGTTGTAAAATGGCCTCCCCACGGGACCTCTGCAGCCTCTCCAGAGCTGCTGCTTCTGCCCTTCTGTAGCGTTTTGGTTGAGGCTCAGTTGGGCATTCGTTTCCCTCTGCTTGGAGTCTCTCTCCTCAGCCTCTGCTCTCCCCTTGACCCCGCCTGCCCGAGGCTCCACTGGCCTCCCCCACTGGAACTGAGCACAAGCCTGTTACATTCTGCTCATCGGCCTTGCTCTTCTCACCTACAAATGGGGGTGGTACTCCCTGGCCTGGAGTACAGCTTATTTTTAATGCCATTGAAGAAATATCTTATTTCTCATGATGAGGGTTAAAAATAATGTAGGCCCTAGGTTGGGTGTTTGGCTCAGTGGTTAATGCACTGCTTGGGACATCCATGTCCCATATGGGAGTGCCTGGGTTTCAGTCCCAGCTCCGCTTCCAACTCCAGCTTCCTGCTAATGCACACCCTAGGAGGCAGCAGCTGAGAGCTCAAGTGTTTGAGCTGTTAGAGCCCATGTGGAGACCTAAGTTGAGTCCCAGTCTGTCTTCCACTTGGGCCAGCCCTGGCTAGTGGAGGTACTAGGGAGTGAACCAGCAGATGAAAGATATCCCTGTGTCTGTCTGTTTCTCTCAGCCTTTCAAATAAATAAATAATTTTTTTAGAATAATTTAGATCCTACAGATTCTACACTGGGAGGGACCATTGCTTTGTTAATTAAAAAATTATTTTAAGGGCCGGCATTGTGATGCTTTGGGTTGAGCTGCCACCTGCAATGCTGGCATCCCATATCAGAGCACTGGTTTGACTCCTGGCTGCTCCACTTCTGATCCAGATCCCTCTAATGTGTCTGGGAAAGCAGCAGAAGCTGGCCCAAGAGCTTGGGGCCTGCCACTCACATGGGAGAGCTGAGTGAAGTTCCAGGCTTCTGGCCTCAGCCTAGCCCAGCTCAGCAGTTAAAGGCATCTGGGAAATGAATCAACAGGAGGAAGATCTCCCCCCACCCCCGTCACTCTGCCTTTCAAATAAATGAATAAACCTTCAAAAAAGATTTGTAAATTTAGAGTGTACAGTTCAGTGGGTTTTAGTATATTTGCAGGTTTTACAGCCTGCCACCATCAATCTTTAGAACATTCTCATGACCCCAAAAAGGAATTTCATATGCATTTTCCAGAGGCAACCAATAATCTACTTTCTGTTTCTCTAGATTTGCCTGTTTTGAACACTTCATATAAATGGAATCAAACAGCATATGGCTTTCATAACTGATATTTTAAAAAAGATTTATTTATTTATTTGAAAGAGTTGCAGAGAGAGGGAGAGATAGAGAGATCCTCCTTCCACTGGTTCACTCCGCAGATGGCTGTAACAGCCAAGGGTGGGCCAAGCCAGGAGCCAGGAGTTTCTTCCAGGTCTCCCATGTGGGTGGCAGGGGCCCAAGCACTTGAGCCATCTTCTGCTGGTTTTCCCAGGCCACTAGCAGGGAGCTGGATCGGAAGTGGAACAGCCAGGACAAGAACTGATGACCACATGGGATGCCAGCATCACAGGCGGTAGCTTTACCTGCTCTGCCACAATGTTGGTCCAGATCTTTTGTTTCTTACACCAACAATGAATTTTAAGGCCAGGGATAATTTTTTATTTTTGTTTATTTATTTAAACCCTGCATTATTTTTAAAAGGATTTGGGATGGCTTTTTGAGCCACTGTTCCTAGATCTTTCCAGATGTCCCATACAAATCTTGTTATTCTAAATCTAGGCACCAGGAACAGCCTGGTGGTTAAGCTATTGTTATTCCATATTGAGGTCCCTGGTTTCAATTCCCAGCTCTGACTCCTGACTCTGGCTTCCTGCCTGTGCAGACCCTGGGAGACAGCAGTAATGACTCACATAATTGCAATCTTGCCATGCACATGAGTTCCTGGCTCCCAGATCCAATGTGGCCTGGCCCCAGCTGTTGTAGGCATTTGAGGAGTAAACCAGTGGATGGGAGTACTCTTGCTCTCCCTCTTTTTCTTTTTGCCTCTCAAATAAAAATAAATAAATAAATAAATAAATAAATAAGGACACTGGACGTGCCTCAGGGATTGGTGGTGAGCAGAGTAGCCAACCTGCCCGGTTTGCCTGAAGCTAAGAGGGTCCCTGGCCTGTGGGGCTTCCGCTGATAAGTCTGGGACAGTCGTGGACAAGCCAAGACAAGCAGGTCACTCCTGTGTTAAGAGTCAGGGGGCAGGGCGTTCCTCCTTCCTCCCCAGGAATCTAACGAGGAGCTTTTGTGTATTTGCCACCTGCAGGGCAGGACAGAGGAGCTCGGCCTCCAAGTGACAGCAGTGATGACAGCCCCCATTTACAGAGCACCCAGTGTGCGCCGGATTCTTAGGAGGAACCTCATACATGTACTCCGTAATGTTGGCAATAATCCTCCAAGTCGAGTACCATTAAGACCATTTCACACGTGAGGCTCTGGGAGATTTTTGTGATTTGTCACAAACCACATAGCAGGTATGTTGCACAACCAGAATTTGTTCTTCTTTGTTCTAAAGGTCACACTTCTCCAAATAAACCGTTCAACCTTGCCCTCCCCCAATACAAACAGCAAACAATGCCCCAAACTGTCCCAACATAGCTCTTTTTAAAAAAAATTTATTTATTTATTTATTTATTTATTTATTTATTTGAAAGGCAGAGTTACAGAGAGGCAGAGGCTGAGAGAGAGATGTCTTCCATTCACTGGTTCACTCCCCAATTGACCACAACAGCCGGAGCTGTGCTGATCTGAAACCAGGAGCCAGGAGCTTCTTCCAGGTCTCCCACATGGATGGCAGGGACCCAAGGACTTGAACCACCACTTGCTGCCTCCCAGGGTGTGTATTAGCAAGAAATTGGACCAAAAGTGGAGCCAGGACTTGAACTAGACACTCTGATATTGGATGTGGTGTCCCAAGTGGCATCTTTACAGCTGTGCCCAAGGCCTGTCCCTGTGCAAGCAATTTTGAATAGAAATATGAAACCTACACTAATTCCTGCATGAGATAAAATAAGCCAGTTATCTGGTTGGGGACTCAGTTTCCTTATAGTTCAAAGTGAGGAATAATAATGTTCCTCCACTTTATGAGAATGTTATGAGGATAAAATGAACTGGTGTGCAGTGAAGCCTTTTTAAAAAGATCAAGAGCTGTGTAGGGGGGCCAGCACTGTGGCATAGTGGGTAAAGCCGGTGCCTGCAGCGCGGACAGCCCATATGGGCGCCGGTTCAAGTCCCTAATTTCAGCTTGGCCAGTTCCTAGCTGTTGCAAGCATTTGGGAAGTGAACCTGTGGGTGGAAGCTTTCTCTTTGTTTTTCTGCCTTTCAAATAAAATGAAAATAAATTTGAAAATTAAAAGACAAATGATTCCTAAGGCAGCTTTGAAAGCCCCATGAAAAGCAGCCCACAGGGGGGTAGAAGTGTTCAGCCTCCCTGACCATATAAAGTCAGTGTCCAGCACGTGTGGACCCAGTGGGGCACAGCCAGCATGAGCTGAGAGGCGGCTCTCACTGCAGAGGAGGAAGTCCTGAGCCCAGGTGGTTATCTGATTGATGAAAAGCAGCGGAGGATGGCCCAAGTGTTTGGGCCCCTGCCACCCGTGTGGGGGACCTGGAAGAAGCTCCTGGCTCCTGGCTTCAGTATGGCCCAGCCCTGGCCATGGCAGCCATTTGGGGAGTGAACCAATGGGTGGAAGATCTCTCTGTCTTTCTTTCTCTCCAGCTGTGCCAGGCCAGAAGCCAGGAGCCACAAGCTTCTTCCAGGTCTCCCACGTGGGTACAGGAGCCCAAGCACTTAGGCCATCCTGTGCTGCCTTCCCAGGCCATTAGCAGGGAGCTGGATCAGAAGCCAAGCAGCCAGATCTCAAACCAGTGCCCATATGGGATGCCGGTGTCATAGGCTGGGACTTGACCACTGCACCACCACTGCCCCGACCTAATTTTTTTTTCACACAGGGAAGAGCCAGAGTTGGAAGGGAGCCTCTATGTCACATGCCTGTCCCAGTCCTAGCTGGGAACCCAGGGGAAGACAGCCAGCTCTCCCTACCCTCCAGGCCAGCTGGCCTGCTTACTGTCCTCCAAAGGCTGAGCAGTGGCTCAGGGAGGCAGCCGGCAGGGAAGGGGGAAGGGGCTGGAGGCAGCTCTTGGCCTGAGGCCTCTCTAACCTGCCCTGGGTCACCCCACACTGCATGCCCTTGGGGACTTAATTCCTTAGGGGCTGTCTTGATAATTCATTTCCTTGAATATTTATTTATTTCAGAGGCAGGGAACAGGGACAGGGGAGAGATCCCATCTGCTGGTCTGCTCCTCAAATGTGGTTGCCCAGGACTGGACTAGCAACTCCAGGAGCTGGGAATGCAATCCAGGTCTCTCATGTGGGTGATGGTTCATGTCCACGTGATTTTTTGTTTGTTTGTTTTCATTGTATTTGAAAGACACAGAGAGAAAAGAGACAAATGGAGAGAGATGTGCCATCTGCTAGTTCATTCCCAAATGCCTGCAGCAGCCAGGACTGGGCCAGGCTAAAATAAGAAGCCTGGAACTCAATCCAGGTCAAGCACGTGAGTGTCAGGGACCCAGAAGCAGTGTAGCTGGGGCTTAAGCCAGGCATCTGATATAGAACACACAAGTCCCAAGTGGTGGTATAGCGGCTGCACCAAATGTCCACCAGCACCACCACCACCCTTCCTCTGAGCCCCCCTTTGCCACCGCCCCCTCACCGTCCCAGTCATTTCCACGTGAATTAGAGGTGAGAAGAGAAGGTTGTATGCATGGCCCTGCCAGCTCTGAGCTGCACTGGGTGGAGGAATGGGTGGCCCCTTCCTTCAGACTGGGGAAGCAGGGGCAGGGCTGTGAGGCTCCGGCAGCCACCATACAAAAAGATTTTAAAAACTCAACATCAAAGGTAGGTGTTGTGGTACAGGAGATTAAGCTGCCATTGGGGACAGCCACGTCGCATATCGGAGTGCCTAGGATCCAGTTTCCAGCTGATGCACCTGGGAATGCGGTGGATAATGGCCCAGGTGCCCCTGCCACCCACATGGGAAACCCAGATGGACTTCCTGGCTCCTGGTTTCAGCTTGGCCCAACCCCCATTGTTGTATTTGGAGAGTGAACCAGCGGATGGAAAATTCTCTCTTTCAAATAAATTCTGAAGTGAATAAACAAACACATTTTTAAACAAGCTCTTAGCTTTAGGTCTTGGGGACATTTTCCCTACTGCTCTTTATCCTCACTCCTAGGAGTTGCAGGATCTTGTCCCAGGACCTGGTCCATTTCTGGTTTGCATCTGCAATGATGCAATAAGCCCTTTCATTTCATTTCAGAGACCCATTGTTGTCAAGTTTTGGTGAAATAGTGGTCTCGCCTATGCTTTCAAGTTTGTTTACCTCTACTATATCTGAAAGGTGGAAATGCTGTCCAAGTATAGTCATGCCGCTTTGTACCTCCTCCCTCCCAACCCCACATTCAGAGACATCAGATTGATGGCTAGAAATCAGTCATAGGAGAGGTGTTTACTACAAGAATTAATAAGTACTCTAAGTCAGCCCCCCCACCCCAAGAACCAGCTGCTAAACGTTACAACTGAAGTGTGAAATATTTTCCACTGGAACCCTGAAGCTCCCAGCCCATGTTTCTGCAGAACCCACCAGGCAGGAATAGTGGAGATGAACTCAGCCCCGGGCCCAGGGCTAGCAGAGCTCACCAGACAAGGGGTGAGTGAGGCAGGGAGTATGTGGGGGATCCCAGAGGCTCCATTTAACAGGAAACGTGGTTCTGCCGGCCAGGAGAAAAATGTCTGATGCACTGATGCCCAGGAAGTATGTATGTTCCCTCTGCCACCACTGAGATGCACTATAATTTTTTTTTTTTCTCTTTCTCACAATAGTCTTGGACCTCTAGTTACCAAGGGAAATGAAGGAGCAAGCAGCTCGACTGGAAGCCTGCCGGGAAGGAGAGGCAGCTGGTGCCCAGCCCCTTGTGGAATCCTGCCCCCTAGTGGAGTGATCAAAACTGCAGGCCTCTGTCCTCCAATGTTCTCAAACCTTCTGCCTCCGTGGATCACAGCCATTGTGCTCCCAGCACTGGGCACAGGACAGCAGAGGCCACCCCTGTGGGACAGACACATGGACTATGAACAGAAGCGTGTGCTTCAAGCCAGAGGGTCTCAATCATTCCCTGAACACCCATGCCCTCTTTGGATAGAAGTATTTTATGGCATCCTCTTAGTACCATGAAATAAAAATCATAGATAATAGAATATGCCCAAACACATAACTAAAAAAATAAGTAATTGCATAAGTTCACCAAATGACATTCATAAAATGTTGCTAGGGACAGGCATTTGGCCTAGTGGTTAAGCAACAGCTTGGGATACCCACACCCCATGTTGGAGTGCCTGGGTTCAAATCCTGGCTCCATTCCCAGTTTCAACTTCCTGCTAATGTAGACTCTAGGAGGCATCCGTGATGGCTCAAGTACTTGGGTCCCTGCCTTCCATATGGGGATCCTGAATTGGGTTCCTGGCTCCTGGCTTTAGCCTGGCCCAGCCTAGGCTGTTGCAGACATTCAGGGAGTAAACCAGTGGATGGAAGTTTTCTTTCTTTCTCTCAATCTACCTCTCAAATAAATTACTTAATTAATTTTTTTAAAAGAACGTACATGGCACTGTTATTTGTAATAGCCCCAAACTGGAAACAGCCCATATATTCACCTTCAATAGCATGGAGAAATAAGCCATGAGATATCCATACAAAAAAATGCCCTGCAGTGATGAGAATGAACACACTCCCAATTCACCCAACAACATGAGTTTGAAAATGTAATTTTGACTCAAGGAAACAACACGCAAAACATTTATGCACTGTATGATTCTATTTATATCAAGTTCAAAGATAGGCAGAATTAATTTAAGGTGCTGGAAATAAACTAAAACTCTTTTTTTAAAAAAAAGATTATTTATTTCAAAGGCAGACTTATAGAGAGGCAGAGGCAGAAAGAGAGAGAGAGAGTGAAAGAGAGAGAGAGAGAGAGAGGTCTTCCATCTGCTGGTTCACTCCCCAAATGGCTGCAATGGCTAGAGCTGGGCCAATCTGAAACCAGGAGCCAGGAACTTCTTCCAGGTCTCCCACGCAGGTGCAAGGGCCCAAGGACTTGGGCCATCTTCTACTGTTTTCCTAGGCCACAGCAGAGAGCTGGATCGAAGTGGAGTGGCCGGGACTCAAACTGGCAGCCACATGGGATCCCGGCACTGCAGGTGGCGGCTTTACCCGCTACGCCACAGCACCAACCTCAAAGCAAAACTTTTGAAAATGAAGGATCTCTGAGATAAAAGGATTTGTTGAGCCAATGCCAGCCAGCAAGGAGACTATGTCCTGGGACAAGATTCTACAACCTTCAGCAGCAAGGCTGGGAAGCACTTGGAAAAGTGTCTGCCTGGCCTAGAGCTAGAAGTAGCTTTATGTTAAGGACTGGGGGAAGAAAACATAAATTGTCTACACTGAAGATGTGCTAACTTTTTTAAAAAATTATTTTTAGGCACCGGTGCTGTAGTACAGTGGGTTAAAGCCCTGGCTTGAAGTGCTGGCATCCCATATGGGTGCCAGTTCTAGTCCTGGCTGCTCCTCTTCTGATCCAGCTCTCTGCTATGGTCTGGGATAGCAGTAGAAGATGGCCCAAGTGCTTAGGCCCCTGCACCCACATGGGAGACCTGGAGGAAGCTCCTGGCTCGTAACTTTGGATTGGCTCAGCTCCGGCCATTAAAGGCCATTGTTTTGATGAAATGCATGCACTGGGCCCCAAGAGACCAGCCTAAAAGTTAAAATGGAGTCACCTGTGCTAAAGTTCCAAGTCTCCAAGCTGAAAGCAAGCTGTGTGTCTGAACGTCCAAGAAATCAGGATTAAAGACACAACAAACACATTTCCCCACAACAGCCTGTTCAGTTAGAATAATCACGCTATTCTCTCTGCTTTAATGCTAACACACAAAAGGCTAACCTGGAAGCGGGCCTTTAACCTAGTGGTTAAGATACCTGCATCCCACGCTGGAGAACCTCGGCTCAGTTTCCAGCTCCAGCTCCTGACTCCAGCTTCCTGCTAGTGCAGTCCCTGGGAGGCAGTGGTGATGGCTCAGGTAACTGAGTTCCTGCCACCCACATGGGAGACCTGCATAGCATACCCAGCTCCTGGCTTCAACCAGGCCCAGCCCAGCCCTGGCCACTGTGAGCAGTGAATGAGAGTTCACTCTCTTCTCTCTCTTTCTTTGTGTGTGTTTGCCTCTCTCATTCATTCATTCATTATTTTAAAAAAAGGGAGCTGGGTTGCTGGCTTTGTGGCACAGTGGTACCACCAGGCCAGCACCACAGTGACCATCTGTCCCTATCGTTTTCCTCATGTTTCTTGCTTCTCTCCCATGACCCTCCCAGGCACGTGACAGGCAGACCAGGTGCAGGGGCACCGTGCGTCCTGCAGCCCCTCAGCCCTGGAACTCACCCTGGTTTTGAACTTGTACCTCTGTCAAGCAAGCACACAGAGAAGGGGAGCCAAATGGCATGAAAGCCGGGCCATTAAAGCCCTTTTCCAGGGGCTGGTGCTGTGGCGTGCTAGGCTGAGCTCCACCTGCCCCACCGGTATCCCATATGGGGGCAGGTTCGTGTCTCTCTGCTGTGGCCCGGGAAAGCAGCAGAGGATGGCCCAAGTGCTTGCTCCCTGCACCGGCATGGGGGGACCTGGAGGAAGCTCCTGGCCCTTGGCTTCAGATCGGTGCAATTCTGACTGTTTCGGCCATTTGGGGAGTGAACTGAAAAAGCTCTGGTCGCTTCAGCGAGCTTGAGGGCTCGGCCGTGTGCCTCCTGTGTGAGGGACTGACCCTTGGTCACACCATCACATGGGCCTTTGAACACATGTGCCCTTTCCCGCTGTAGCTGCCTCCTGCAGAGCCTTCAAAGCTCACTCATCTGCCCCTCCTGGAAGCTTTCCCTTTTCTCCAGGGTTCCCATGACTACCAGCAGACAGACCTGGGACCTGACCCCATGCTCCAGGGTCTGCAGAAGCCCCCCAGACATCACCCCTGCTGCCTCTGGATGGTCTAAAGGGAAGGCCTGACCTGGTTGAGGGGGCTTATATCTTTTCTTGAAGGCGTTTGTTGCTGTTGGAGGTTTTTCCTTGGTAAGAAGTTTTTCTTTCTTTTTTTCAAGAGCTCCTTCCGGGTCTCCCATGCGGGTGCAGGGGCCCAAGCACTTGGGCCATCTTCTACTGCCTTCCCAGGCCATGGCAGAGAGCTGGACTGAAAGAGGAGCAGCCAGGACATGAACTGGTGCCCATATGGGATGCTGGCACTGCAGGCAGAGCCTTAGCCTATTAGGCCACAGCACCATTCCCAGTAAGAAGCTTTTCTTTGGGGCCTTCTTGTATTTTGGCTTTGAGTTCATCACTACTTAGTTCTTTAAAAAAAAAAAAAAGATGTAATTATACATGTGAAAGGCAGAGTTACAGAGGGAAAGGGATCTTCCATCCACTGGTTCACTACTCAGAAGGTTACAACAGCTGGGGCTGGGCCAGACCGAAGCCTAGGAGCCTAGAACTCCATCCAGATCTCCCAGGTGGATGCAGGTCCTTGGGCCATCCTCTGCTGCTTTCCCAGGTGCATTAGCAGGGAGCTGGATCGGAAGTGGAGCAGCTGGGACTTATGACCAGCGCTCCTAAGGGATGCCACTGTCACAGGAAGCTGCTTACCCTGCAGCACTGCAATGCCGGCCCCACTACTTAGTTCTTGAGTTTGCACTTTTGTTTTGCTCGAAATAAATCCTGCTTTCCTGTACATCTTTACGCCTCTACCTTTGAATTCTTTCACACAGGGAGGGAAGAACCTGCTATAAGCCTAGCTGGGAGCCCCACAGCTCCCCGACCTGTCTGAAATCTATCATTAGAGATTTGCATCCTCTAGCTCCAGGCTGCTCAAACCTGTGTGTGTGTGTGCGCACGTGTGCACAGGAATCCCCTGGGGATCTTGTTAAAATGTAGATTCTGACTTAGTGGGTCTGGGGTGGAGCCTGAATGTCTGGGTGCAAACAACCCATCAGGGATGCTGCAGCTGCTTGTCCAAGGACCACACTTAGAGTGGCAGGTGTCTGTGGTCAGCTGCACCCCTATGGTCATGTTGTGCTGGAAGAATCCTTGTTGTAGGTGCCTGTCCTGTGCCTTGTAGGATGCTTGGCACATCTTTGACCTCTACCCACTAGAAGAGCAGCTTTCTGATTTTAACAACTAAAAATGCCTCCAGAACTTGCCCCAGGTCCCTGGGGGAGGGGCAAAACCTCAGTTAAGAGAACATTAGGACCGGCACTGTGGCTCACTAGGCTAATCTTCCGCCTGCAGCGCCGGCACACCAGGTTCTAGTCCCATTTGGGGTGCCGGTTTTTTCCTGGTTGCTCCTCTTCCAGTCCAGCTCTCTGCTGTGGCCTGGAAAGGCAGTGGAGGATGACCCAGGTGCTTGGGCCCTCCACCTGCATGGGAGACCAGGAAGAAGCACCTGGCTCCTGGCTTTGGATCAATGCAGTGTGCCAGCCGTAGTGGCCATTTGGGGGGTGAACCAACGGAAGGAAGACCTTTCTCTCTGTCTCTCTGTCTCTCTCTCTAACTCTGCCTGTCAAAAAAAAAAAAAAAAAAAAAAAGGACATTAGAAGAACTCTTAAAAAACACGTCTGTGGGCTTCACTGGGCTCTAGAGGGACTTTCAAACACTGGGGTAGGGCTGACCATGTAATTTGTAGGGCTCAGTGCGAAATAACAATGCAGTGCCCCTGGGAGCAGGTGTTTAGCATAAGCATCTAGAGGCCCATATCCCACATCAGACCGCCTGGGTTCAATTCCTGGCTGTGGTCCCTGACCCCAGCTTCTCGTTAATACAGACCCCAGGAGACAGCAGCAGTGGCTCAAGTGGTTGGGTTCCTGCTACCCAGATGGTAAATCTGGATTGTATCCCCAGCTCCTGGCTTTGTCCCCAGCCTAGCCTCTGTCACTGCAGGCATTGGGCAGTGAAGCAGCAGATGGCAGCTCTGTTTCTCTCTGCCTCTGAAATAAATAATGTTTTGAAAAATTCAATACCCTTGTTCAAAAAGCAGGACATGATTGCTGCCAAAGGTACAAGAATATGAAGCTTTTGTCTTTTCAAAATGTTTTATTACTTGTAAAATGTAATAAGCGTAATAGTGATACAGAAGTAACAACATAATTTCATAAATTGAACTTTTTGTGTCGTATTTAAATAATGTAATACATTAAATTATTTTATTCATGTTATATTTTGATTCATCTAAAGATTCTTTTGGCTTACTTTTTCTATAATTCATTTATTAATGGCTACTGGAATTTATAATTTTGACAACTTAAGTTTTGATCAATATAATTGAAAGCAATGTCAGTTGCTCTTGGCAAATATATCACAAATAGTTTTCTGTACTACACAGAGAGGGGTCCATATGGGCCAAGCCGAAGCCAGGAGCCTGGAACTACATCCATGAGTGGCAGGGGCTCAAGTATTTGGGCCATCTACTGCTGTTTTCTTGGGCAAATTAGTAGGAGACTGGATTGGAAGTGGAGCAGCTGGAACCCAAACTGGCACTCTGATATGAGATGCTAGCTTGTAAGTGGTGGCTTAACCTGCTTTCCACAATGGAAACTCCCACAGTGTACATTTTTAAAAAAGATTTATTTATTTATTTGAAAGTGAGAGTTACACAGAGAGAGGGGAGGCAGAGAGAAAGAAGTCTTTCATCCGCTGGTTCACTCCCCAGTTGGCCGCAACAGCCGGAGCTGCACCAATCTGAAGCCAGGAGCCAGGAGCTTCTTCAGGGTCTCCCGTGTGGGTGCAGGGGCCCAAGCACTTGGGCCATCTTCTCTACTTTCTCAGGCCATAGCAGAGAGCTGGATGGGAAGTGGGGCAGCTGGGACTAGAACTGGCACCCATATGGGATGCTGGCGCTTCAAGCCAGGGCATTAACCCGCTGTGCCACGGTGCCGGCCCCCCACAGTATACCTTATAGGGAAGCTGTCACAGTATCTGGAGCCCTGTGTGTCCTGCAAATGATGTAGGAGATGTCCCCAAATTCCTTGCAGCAGGAGCCCACCCGGATGGCACCAACCTTGGACTTCCAAATGGAACGGTGCATCTACAAAAGGAAAAGGGATGGCATCTGCCTCCAAATCTGGTTCTAAGCTGACCTTCACAGTCGCTGAAGCAAAGAGGTTGATGGAAAATGAACACCAATTTCTAAATGTTAAAAAAGCTGGTGCCAGTTAGAGAGACAGATAGAGAGCTCCCACCCACTGGTTCACTTCTTGTATGCCTGCCACAGCCCCCGATCGGAGCCAAAGTTGAGAGCTGAGAATCCAATCCAGGGCTCCCTTGTGGATGGCAGGAACTCAACCACTTGAGCCATCAGCACTGCCTCCCAGGGTCTGCACCAGCGGAAGCTGGGGTCAGAGGTCAGAGGTCAGAGGTGGGACTCAAACCCAGGCTCTCGAAAACTGGACACAGCAACCTAACAGGCATCTTGATCGCGAGGCCAAATGCTCGCGTCACAATGATTTTTAATAATTTTAATTTTGAGAAGTAATTCTTTGCTGATGGAACTGTTACTGAATCTTCTAAGAGTGCTTTCTGTTTTGTGAGGACATTGGAATACTGACCAATGATTCCCCCCACACTGTGATTTGCTGTTTCAAATTATAAATCTTGGTGCTCTTAGAGCTGACAATTCTCACGCAACGATTTTTCCAAACAAATTCAGTTCTTCATACAAATCAATTTCACGCCAGTCTGAATTTAACTTTAAGTGTAAGTTTACACAATTGCCATGTAATGTTTCTGTGATGTTTCCTGGAACTTGCGGGGCTTCATACAAGAAACTAAAGGCAGCTTCATCTTTTTGTGTACAATTTATTTTTTATAAAAATAAACAATAGCTTATCCTTTTTTTAAGATTTATTTATTTATTTGACAGGCAGAGTTACAGAGAAAGGGAGAGACAGACAGAAAGGTCTTCCATCCACTGGTTCACTTCCCAAATGGCTTCAATGGCCAAAGCTGAGTGGACCTGAAGCCAGAAGCCAGGAGCTTCTTCCGGGTCTCCCACGTGGGGGCAGGGGCCCAAGGACTTGGACCATCTTCTACTGTTTCCCAGGCCATAGCCGAGAGCTGGATCAGAAGAAGAGCAGCCAGAACTAAAACCAGTGCCCATCTGGGATGCCGGCACCACAGGCGGAGCCTTAGCCCACTACGTCACAGCGCCTGCCTCTTTGTGTACTATTTAAAACATTGACTTATACAACCTTTCATTGCATCTTCAATTATCAGAAAAATTAATTTTGAAATTCTCTGGATTTTTTTTTTTGACAGGCAGAGTGGACAGTGAGAGAGAGAGACAGAGAGAAAGGTCTTATTTTGCAGTTGGTTCACCCTCCAATGGCCGCTGCAGCCGGTGCGCTGCGGCCGGCACACCGCGCTGATCCGATGGCAGGGGCCAGGTACTTAACCTGGTCTCCCATGGGGTGCAGGGCCCAAGTACTTGGCCATCCTCCACTGCACTCCCTGGCCACAGCAGAGAGCTGGACTGGAAGAGGGGCAACCGGGACAGAATCCGGCGCCCCGACTGGGACTAGAACCCAGTGTGCTGGTGCTGCAGGTGGAGGATTTTAATCACTGGGTCATCCAGCGCTTCATTTGAAAGTGTTGTTTTCCATCAAATGCAACAGACTAAGTTTCATTTCTCTAAGATTGAATGTTTGCAATTTCGCAGTAATTTTTTTTAAAGATTTATTTTATGTATTTGAAAGACAGAGTTACAGAGAGAGGTAGAGACAGAGAGACAGAGAGGCAGAGAGGTCTTCCATCCGCTGGTTCACTCCCCAGATAGCCGCAATGGCTGGAGCTGTGTCAATCCGAAGCCAGGAGCCAGGAGCCAGGAGCCAGGAGCTTGGGCCATCTTCTACTACTATCCCAGGCCATAGCAGAGAGCTGGATCGGAAGAGGAGCAGCTGGGACTAGAACCGGCGCCCAAATGGGATGCCAGCGCTTTGATCCAGGGTTTTAATCTGCTGCACCACAGCACTGGCCCCCACAGCACTTTTCAAAACTGAAGATTCTAAACTCTTTGAGGGGCTCTGACAATTCCGACACGCTTTATAACAATGTCCGTATGTACATTTTCATTTTATAACAACTTACTGATAAAGTTTACTGGCCAAGGGCTGAGACATAAGAGCTAATATTGACACCATCAGGGACAGACAAGCGGCCTCCACTCAGTGATCCGAGCACTGCCAACTCACTGGGCTCCTTTTCTCTCCTGCAGCTGCCACTGCTGTCGCCGGGGTTCTGCCTGGGACACCCTGGGTGCCCTACGCTGTCCCGCCTTGCGTGTGCGTGCAGGGTAACCAGGTCCATGGCTCTGTGCTCCTGACACCTGCTCAGCCCTGTGGACCCCGTCACCGGGTGTCTGCTGCTGTGCCGACCAACTGCATTGCACTTACACAAGTTCAGAGATAAATTGTAGACACTTCCAGATGGAAACAGCCAAGAATAAAGCCACGGCAGGGTCCCTGTGAGCACAAGGTCATGTACAATTGCACAGGTCATGTGCCCAGGAAGTTCCTCTGCGCTGATGGGATGGGGCTTAGACAGAGCATTCCCAGGAGAGCCTGCTGGCCTCTCAGAGGCAGCAGGAGGGCAAAGAGAAAGGGGAGCCAGGAAATTCCGAGATTCCCACAGTGACTTAGGAAGGGACCCATCAGCTACAAGGCCCCTTCTGTCAC